AACTTCGTTTCGCCGTTATTACTGCTCTAGCGTTCTTCATAGAGCTCGATAGCTATGCGATTATTGCTTTCGGCATGATTCTACTGTTAGTTCTTTTGTTTCTGTATTTCTTACTTGCTGCTGCATTCTGCTACATTCCTTCGCGCGCGGCGTCCCTCTTGCCGCAACGCGACGATTTCGTTCCTACTGCACCACACCCCCAACCCACTCATATGTTCATAACAGTTATGTTTGCAGACTACAGTGCTGTCGCTATTATACTGTGTTTTCGCAAAAGGATAGTTTTTGTATATTCCAAGAATGGTTACGTGCAGAGCGTACTGACCAAACTAATTTTTGTTTGGATTTGATCTGCTCCCGATTGGGTACATACCACGACATGGAAGGATATAGTACAAACACAGACATCACACTTTTGTTCCTATAATATTCATCGTTAGGGTCGAGTCCTTGTGTTTTGCCATGATGCCAATAATATAAATTTTAATGTAATGTTAGATTACTGCTATTACGGTATTTATTATTACGGTATTCACAGTAACACTTCCGCAATAGCAGAAGCTTGGGCCCGTCTCGATCACAAATTCGATCTCATGTATTCTAAACGAGCATTCGTTCATTGGTATGTCGGAGAAGGTATACACATTTTATAATTACCTCCTTCACCACGTGTTAAGAATAGATATCGATTGGTTGTCAAGGTATGGAAGAAGGAGAATTCTCGGAAGCCAGGGAAGATATGGCAGCGTTGGAGAAGGACTACGAAGAAATTGGAGCCGATGAGTATACGGACGATGAAGACGATAATCGAACTTATACTCCTTCAGAAAGATATGCTTCATCTCGAGCAAATGGAGCTTCTCGAGCAAGCCGAGCAAGCCGAATGACCAGTGCCTATTAGTAGTCCTAACCTCATTGTTTCACTGATTTCCTGATAAATACAGTAGGCTTTCATTGTGTAATACTGCACCATTGCATATTATTTTTATGTGGCTTTAGAATAAAATTATTCGTCACGGCTGAAGACGTTAAAGGAGGTTTCACCAAATTATTACCTCGTCATCCTTCTTATCACCAAATTTTTTGAACGAATATCTGTAGTGCTTCCTCGTGAAGAGAGTCATGCTCGTGGTAGTGAGATCGTACTTGGGTGTTAGTGGGAGGGCTTTTTTCAAAAAGGTTGAATGGTTCCACGGCATTAGACTTTAGGTCGATCTTGAATGATTTTGCTTTTTGTACTTATTAGTTTTCTTCCCCAGTATACGTTCGCAGAAGGTAAATGATTTGAAGAGAGGGAGTGATCTAACAATCCCGGAAATACCGAAGCTTCAAGGGGAGAGGATCGTAGCGGCGAAACAGCTTTCTATGCCGGCACCATGATCGGAAAAGTAGCTTTCGAAAGGATTTCAGTTTGACCATTCTTCTCATGAAACTTTCGCACCGCAGTTTTTGCTGTGGTCTGAGGATTTGAATCCGATTCACCTATGCTACTACCTGATCACTTCAGATCCATTCCTCCCAACCTCTTTGACAGAGTTTCCATAAAGAAAATATGGATGAATGTGGAATGATTCTGAAGAAAAAAAGAGAGTCTCACTCTCAATTCACATTATAGGTCAGCTGTTGACAAATTCTCAGAGATTAAAAACAGGTTAGTAGTTTGTCTACATTTCATAAAGCCAAACGCGTGGCCTGCCCTAGACAAAAGTTTGATTACTAAACTCTCCAAACTTATCTTCCATTTGGTCATTACACTACTGTTTCGCTAATTTGACCAAAAGAGTCGAATCTTAGGGTAGGTCATATCCGCCCAAGTTGTCTCCATTGATTGGCATCACGTGCCTGTGGGCCAGTGTTTTCTTAACGCTTCCTACCTATTTTTCTTTTTCTTTGCTTTTGTGATTTTTCCGAAGAATCGGAGTAGTAATAGACCATATCAAAGTTGTGTTTTGTTTCATTTTTTCCTGTGATAGGCATTGAACGAGGGTTTTGTTTTAGACCTTCTTTCGAAGCCTACAATCAAAGCTTCTATTTATTTTCTCTTATTGATTTGGAAGAGTTTCTCTGATATGCTTATGCGAACGTTGGAATTTTCACGAATTCATCATCCATTACTTGTATTTTATATTTCTATTTCTAGATTTAATGAAAAATCCGTGTTGTATTGAGATCACGTTTACAAGCTGTTGTTCTGATGACGAATGATGCAGTCAGGCCTTCTTCTTTTTCCTTTTTTTATTAGGAGCAACTGATAGCGCCTGATCACGGATAACCCCGAATTTACGGAATGGAAATAGAAGTTACTTACTTAGATACATAGACGACCCGTCCATCGGCGATTGGCCTTGCGCGGGTCCCAAATCCTTTTCCATTGTTCTCGACCTTGAGCTCTGGTTGTCCAGTGCGTAGTGACTC